TAATGAAGTGAAACTCAATTAACTCAAGAAATGAAATTGAGTGAAGAAAAAGAGAAGTTCAGACAATACGCAATTCTTCTATTTCCTTTAATAAAATTTAAAATAGATTTTGCTTTAGTAATGTGTTCTCAATTTCTGTTTCTTTTAATTTTTTTCTGCTGAGTCATGTTTATTAAATATCTTTCCTTTTTTTTTTTTTTTAAAAAAAAAGGACCAAAAACTATAAGCTTGGCTTCTATTCACACCATACACTCTTCTTGAAGTCACCAGTGAAAACATGGCTCACTTCTTGTTCATCAGATGTTAATTTTCCTATTCTTGAAATTATGGTTCTCATGGACTTCACTATTTGGGGCTATGGTGTACCTCTCTGAAAGTTCTGCCTCATTCCCCTATGTTAGAGCCTCCACTATTATATAACCTCTAAATACCGGAATACCTGTTATAATTTAAGAAAAGCAGTGCAAGAGACAAAGACACGTTGTGACAGGGTTCCAGCAGAGGGATTTTTTGGGAGGGGTGGAGGAAGGTGTCATCAAAAGGGGAAAGTGGGGCAGAGAGACTGGCCTCTGGGGACAGGAGTAGTGGGAGGGAGGAAAGAAGGGGAGAAAGAGAGAGAGAGAGAGAGAGAGAGAGAGAGAGAGAGAAGAAGGGAGATGAGCAGGGCTTTTTAAAAAGGGAACATAGTGAATCACAGTGAATATGCACAGGTGGTGCCCTTAGTGGCTGCAGCTGAGGGCACTTCAGGTTAGAACCCCAAAGACAGGCCAATACAGATGCCTGAATACTAATAATATCTCCAGCCATTTTCTCTATCTATAACATCTCTTTATATAAACTCATTAAAACACATGGCATTGAATTCCCCACTCTACACAGATGTCTAAAATACATATCGAACTTAATGTGCCAGATCCAGTCTCATCATCATGCTTAGCCAACCTTACTCCATTTTGTCCCATATTCACCAATTCAGTTTGCAGTGTGAGAGCATCAACCACAAACAATATTTGTTTTTTTCCTCTCATGTATACATCCTCATGCTATTCATTAGCGAACTCTGTTTCTACTCATATGTAGTGAATATTGAATTCTCAATACAGTTGATCTCTTTCATTGCTTGAACCTCTGCATTTTACTTAAGCTAATACATTATGACTCAGCTGAATAGATTATGCCTACTTTGGCGTTTACCTTACATTTCTGTCTTCTCCCTCATTACTCTTCCCTTGTGTTAGCCTCATTTAGCTTCTTGTAATGAAGCCAACCTTTTCCCATCTTCATGGGGAAGTATTCTACCAGTTGGTTTTATTGTTTTATTTTTTTTAGAGCTTCCAATTTTCATTATTCAGGACTTATCTCATCAGCCACCTCCTCAATGAACTCTCACCATTGCTTCTAAAAAAGTACCTCACATTTTGTTCAGATGATAGGGTCCTGAGACTGCCAGCAACAACTATCATCTGCCGGATTCCACACACAGTGCTTTTGATGTGTAGATCGGGAGTGAAGTCCAAAGATTTTGATTCTTTTTTTAATTGAATAGAATAAATTTATTTACCTGAGATGCTGACTTACTAGGTAAATATTTTAATAAAATATAATTGCATCAACTCACCCCCCCTCCAACCATCTGTTCTTTGTCCCTATCAAATTCATGGCCTCTCTTTTTCATTTTTATTGTTATATATAATATGTATAAATATATAAATGGAACCTGGTGAGTCCATTTATTGTTGTTTGTATGCATATGATCATTAGGTGTGCATTATAGAAAACTACAACTAGTCAAAATGTAGAGAAAACCGGATCCTGGAGTAGTCCTCCCCAATAAATAAATATACAACATAACTCCTGTGCCTAAGGCCCAGGAAACACAAAAGAAAGGGGGATAGAAAGATTCTAAGAGATGGGAAACAAAGCAATCTCCTCTGAGGTTGTGTAACCAGAAATGGCAGAAAAGTGCTCATGATCTCTCAGCAATATGGCTGCCTAACTAAGACCTGAAAAAACACAGCAACAGTAGACATGCTAACCTGAAAGGGAAATATCAATGTGCCCCAAGACTAAACAAAGAACTATTGGCAACTAAGGAGTGCTTAGAGAAGGTGAATAATAAGCCTTCTACAGGTATGAGCACCCCAACTGGTATGCAAACCAAATAATCAGTACAGTTGTTTAATCTTACAATATCTTAGGTTATGCTCATGGCATTTATGTTAAGAATCTCTGTTCTACAGATCACCTACTTCATATCCTTTACCACAGTTATCTGATTCTGAATATTTTTTCATCATTATTTGCATAAAATATTATTTCACAGAAGGGACCCCTTATGCCTTACTCATGCTGTGGAATGATAACAATGGTATAAAATGATAAAACAATGGTATACAAAATCCACACCTTTCAGTTTTCCTGTGAACCTGAAACTGCTCTACAAATTAAATCAATTAAATATTGAACATGCTTAATTGTGTTTTTAATTTGTGGGAATGATATGTGCAGCTTATTTATGACAAGGCTAACTCATGAGACGAATAAATATAATTACCTGAGGTTGCCCTCAACTGCTGCTCTGTAAGTTCATCCTCACCAGTCCTGGCTCCCAAAGAGGCAGTTTCTGTAAAACACATCAGAGTAATGGATAAGCATGTTGTATCTGGGACATAACTAATATAAGAGAACCATACATATGGCTACCATAGGAAATGAGCACTAGGGGGTGCTTACAAGACTAGCAACTTTACATTCTAGCAAGCAGTGGTTGGAGAAATTAGACCAGGGAAGGATAGGCTGGTATTTAAATCTTGGTGATCAGCAAAACACAAAAATGCAGCAGAATGGAAAATCATAGAAGCACAAACAACTTATTTGGATTTTTACCCTGTGATTGAGTGTGGCTACCTATATATGATAATAATGGCACTTTGTATCTATCATGAGCATTGTCTTACTTATTAAGTATCCAAAAGAAAAACCTAGCATATGGCAACTGATGGGAGAGACCAAAGAAGGCCTCTTAACGTTTAAGAGAAATTTAAACAATGAGTCTATCATTAGTAAATTCATATCTTTATTGAGCACCAGGGAAGAAATGGTAACAACCTACTGTCTTGCTAACCTTAACTTCAAACATGAATGGCTATGTTAATGTAACTGGATTCTTCCTTTCTCTTGTCTTGCATAGAGAAATTGTTGCATACTATCAGAGGAGAAAAGTAATAAATATCACTCAGCTACAATCAATGTGGCTTACAACAAGCGACCAACCTACATGATACACTCTTGCAATCATGGCACAAATGTAATGGGAGTAATCAATGGTCCCCCTTTAAATTGGATTTAAGGCCCATTCCATGAGATGGACTCTGTAACTGACATTGCTAAAATGGACAGGAACCTGAAACTAGATAGGTCATTGGTCCTAGGTGAAAACCTACTATCATTATTCTGCTAAGGGAACATAGGAATAAAATTACTCCAAATGACATGATAATATACCTATAGATCAAAGTATCACTCAACCATCAGCAGAGAAGCTTGCACTGTATGGCAATTAATGAAGAGACTCAATAACTGGACAACATGCAAAGAAACTATGGAGAACTCAGCTCTAAGTGGGATGCCCATCCCACCCCTAAACCTTAAGATTCAGAGATCTATGTGGAAGTAGAGAAAGAAAGATTTTAAGAGCTGGAGGTGGTAGATAATTCTAAGAGGGAAAAATTTCTGAAATACACAATAGGACTAGTACATATATGAAATCTTAAAGACTGTGACAGCACGTGCAACACTTGAACTCATTCAAACCAGACACATCTAGGGGAGGAGAAGGAGAAGTGGACACAACTCCCACCCTAATGAAAGAAACTACTTGACATTGATACTTGATATATTGATACTGGGAAAGGGAAAATCCATTTTATCTAATAGAATTTCTCTGAGCATATTAACCACACTCACTCTAAGGCAGGTCCCCATGCTCAGGAGTAGTTGGCCAATACAAAATGTACGTCATATTTTTTATGCACTTTTTGTGGGGGAGGGTGGTATTTTTCAATTGGCTTCATTTGCTTGATTTGATATTTGTTCACTGTTTTTATTTTGTTTTCTAGAAAGAACATGCAGTTGGGTGAGTGGAGAGGTAGGAGAAGATCTGAAAGGAGATGGGGAAGGAAAATAATATGATGAAAATATATGAAAAAAACTTTAAAATAGAAAATTTAAAAGACAAAAGGCTAGACTTTAGAAATTGCCTTCAATATTTCATTCTTTTTCCATTCTGAATCTCTGCTCTCTTTTGCAATGTTTCTTGTCCCTTGCCTTTGTTCTTTGTCTTGCATTCTCCTTCTAAACAATGATCTCCTCTACAACACCCCATATACTGCAAACTCCTTTATTTCCAGTCTGACGCTTTACTAACATTTCAACTGATACCATTTAACACTATTACTTCTTAAGTAAAAACACATGGTTCCACCATTTTTCAAGCATGAAATCTCAAGGAAATAGTTTTCTTTTCTAAGTCTTAATTCCTTTAAAGCAAGATGCCACTATGTAAACAGTTTGTAATTGTGGAGGTTTGAAAGAAAATAGACCCCAAAGGAAGTGCCACTATTAGGAGGTGTGGCTTTATTGGTGCAGTATGGCCTTGTTGGAGGAAGTATATCACTGTGGGAGTGAGCTTTGCGGTTTCATATATGTTCAAGCCACATCAGTGAAAGAGTTCACTTCCTGGTGCCTGCCTATTAAGACATAGAACTCTCAGCTCCTTCTCCAGTACCATGTCTGCCTGTATGCTGCAGTGTCCTACCATGATGATAATGGACTAAATCTCTAAACTGTAAGACACCCAAGGAAATGTTTTTCATTTATAAGAGTTGCCATGGTCATGGTGTCTCTTCATAGTAATAGAAACCCTAAGACAATAATCTTATGCAAAAATGATTTGCCCAAATAAAGGACAAAGAGCTATATATAGTCTTCAAGGGTAGGAAAGACTAGATGCTGTTAAGCTGTTTAAAAAGGCTTTCCCCTTAACTCTTAATCTGCCAAAAGGAACTATGTTTGTATAATATTTCTACATAATAGCATCTCTGGTTGATTTTGTAGGCTTTAATTAAACAAGTACTTAACCTGGAAAATAGAAATGCACATCCAGGAAATAATATTATTTACTAAAGTTTTTCTTGCTGTTTCAAAACCTTTGTCCTTTGGTGGTAACCAATTTTAAAATAGCACAATCATAATGAATTCACACAACTTCCCCCAAACATACACAGAAATAGTGTTCTTATAAGTATCTCTCAAATTAATCTTGAAAGGAAGAATTTATTCTCTGTCCTTGCTCACAAATCCTGGAGTGAGTTCCAGTCTTGAGGAACACCCAACCAATCATTCAAGAAACCCACCATTTTCCTCTTTGGCTGAATGGCTTTAAGGTTTGGTCTATTTCATTCCTTTGAATTTAGATGCCTATTTTGTTCTCCTACTTTTATCCTCTTACACTTCTCTCAAAGCTAAAGCAAGGTCTCTCTAAACAATTACCTTACACTTGTGTTTCAGCATTGGTTAGAGAATGGTTATGAGTTTCTGTAAGATCTATACATATTTCCTGGGCATGCTATGAGTTCCTTAAAAGCAATTCTCCATCCTCACATATCTCATGTAAGGACAGAGGATAATAAACCAAACTGACCAAACTAGAGTAGGCTCACCAAGAAGTTATAATCATTTCCAACACCAGCCAACGACTGATATTTCTTAAAGATTAATAAAAATTGAACAATGACAATTAATGTGTTTATGCCTGCTAAGTAGTGTGTATGCTATGTGTATAGAAGCAAGCATGTAATTCTCACAATAAAATCATGTGAGAAATTATTAATCCTGACTTTATAGATAAGAATATAGGTAATTAAATAAATCAGTAACTTTTCCTAAGTTTTGAAATAAAAAACTCATAGAGTCTAGAAGAAGAATCCTATCTATCTAGTCAAGAAGCTGAAAAATATTTAAATGATCCAGTTCTAGAACTACAATATTTGGAAACCCATAAAGATTTTCCTAGGCTTACTGAAGGCCAGAAACTAAGTGGAAAGAACAAGAAACAATGTTCACTGGTCCTTTGAAAATTCCAGTATTTCATAAAACATTTATGTCCATTCATTATAAAATGTAAGTAAATAATTTGTGCTAGACTATAATCATTTTACCTGAAACATAGAATATCAAAAGAAAAATATGAATCTGAAAATTAAATGCTGTAACGTGGAAACTGCTTCAATGTGAGCACTTCCACAAATACGTTCTAAAGGCATGTAGTTCAGTGTGCCCCAGAGTCAGTTTTAGAGCCTCAGTGATGGTGTTCTCCTTTATACAACTGATATAAATATTTTAATAAAAGAGCTTTTAACTTATCAACAAACTGATTAATCGGTACTTTTCTGCCTGTGTAAAATGAAATGTTTAGAATCTCATAATAATACATAACATCTTGCAGTATTTCACTCTAATAATTGGTCTGTAATAACAAACTGACTGCTGTTAACTGGATCTGTCACTTTGTGAGTGATTTAATTAGATTACTAATTTCTGTTCTTTTTAGCATATGACCTTTTTAATGCTGTTTAAAAATAATACCATTGACTTAGCTTATCTAAAATCCGGTTCTATCCTGTCAATTTAGTCATGATCACATATTTGAAAATGGAATCCAATTACTCTATTTTTATTAACACAATGTGGGAACAATCAGAAGCATTTTCTGTGGAATAAGGCATCGATCACAGAAATCAACATCATCGACAACAAGACTTCCTGAAGTATCTGCTTGGTGCCCTGTACTGGCTGAGGTTGCTTATTCACGTTTTGTCACAGTTGGCAAGTGATGGAGCTGTGATTGGAAGCCTCAGAGTTTCATTTCACAAACAGTTTTCTGAAGTACCATGTTAAACTAACTGGTGCTTTCAATATCCTCAAGATAGCTTGGCTTTCAATTCTGCAGTTTCTCCAACTGTTCACTTCAGTCTGTTTCCTTCTGTTCAACTCCTCCCTTAGCCTCACTGGGGGGCCCACCCACTGACTTCTGAAAATGAAAGTTCTTATGAGTTCTTTCTCTTCATTTTGCACATATCTTTCCTCCCATACCCCTGTCCATCTTAAGATTCTCTTTTACCTTTCTTTTTTCTTTCCCTTAAATAAAGAACACTTGTTCTAGCAAGTAAATTGATAAGTTTTGGTCACTGAGTCATCACATTCTGAAGGATTCCTTTCCCATGAATTATTGGGATAACAAAACAAAACAAAACTGTGATAATACAAATCTCATATCTTATGCTAAGGGAAATTTATATTATTTTATTTTTCTTTCTTTTATGGTGAAATTAGATCCATCTCTCAAAAACTACATCCTGTTGACAGTTTCTCCTCCTTCCACTCCTCCCAGCACCCACCACGTCCTCTCTCTCAAAGATCCTCTTCCTCTGTTTCTTTCCATAGAAGTGTAGACATCTAAGAAACAAAAAACAAACCTGGCAAAGACAAATAAAATAAGACAAGGTGAACATCTCAGTCTCAGTCAGTCACCTCTTTTCAGTGAAACACATGAATGTAGAAGAC